TGAACAATCAAGATTTCCATATGCACAAGAGCCTAAAAAGGAAAGCACCTGTCTTATTTTAAATCCATTTTCCTAAGCTCACTGCAGCTTATAATTCTAAGAGATCTATTGAATCAAAGGAAAGCAATTCAATTTTCTATCCACATTTATTGAACACCAACTAATATGCTTGAATACATTTTACTACATTGACAAAAGCAGCTTTAGAATACTGCTTCAAAATGGAAAACTTGATCAAAAATAACTTGATGGTAGTTGAAGACACCGAGAAAAATCAGATATCATTTTTACACTTGAGGAACTCAGAATGCTGGGTTCATTCCTTCAGCTGGCTATTTACTGGGCACATGCTGTGTGCCAGCACTCTCCTGGCAACTGTGATTACAACGGGAAAATCCCTGTCATGAAGTGTAAGTACTGAGCAAACAGTCAATAAATAATGTGTAAATGTGAAAACATGTGTTAGTGATCAGGGTGAAGGAGGAAAAGAAAAGCAGAAAAGCATGTTGCAGCGTGTTGACGTCAAGAGGTAAATGGCCAAGGAAGGGCTCACAGAGGAGAGGGCATCTATGCAATGACCAGAAGGAGTACAGGAGTGTGTCTCTACTGAGGACAGAGTAATGGAAAGTTAATGTCTGGGGCAAGAACGTGACTTGTATTTGCAGGAAATGCTAGGAGGTCAGTGAGACTACATCTGTTTCAGCCAGCTTTTCCTTTCCTGGACAACAATACCCAAAATTCACAATTGAAAGGAGCTGAGGGTTAATTTGGCTCATGGTTTGAGGATTCAGTCCATGGTCAGCTGGCTCCAAGGCAGAAACCTCCTGGCAGAAGGGTGTGGGGAGGAAACATGCTTAGTTCTATGGCACCTGGAAACCAAAGCAGGGGAGCAGGGCTGGAGAAGAAGGAGCCAGGACCAGGCACGGGTCTCAAGGCCATGCTTCCATGTCCCACCCAGACATCCTCAGAAGGGTGGGTCTCGAATCCAAAGGTTAGCTTTGTGCCTGCCCACCGCTGTTCTACACAAGCAAGAACATTACTGAGATGGGGCTGGAGGAAGATGAAGGAGTAAGCTGAGGTACAGATGGGTCTGATTCTCAGGACACACAGTGCCTGCCATTAGGAAAATGGGTGGCTGGGCTGCAGGGTCGTGTATCCAGGCTTTTTAAAAATGGTTCCCTCTGGAAGCTGGGTTTCAATTAGACTAGAGATAGCACCTACAGAAGCAGAGAGAAGGTTCAGAAAAGAAAGCCTGAAAGGTGGAAGACTTTATGTTTAAAAAAACTTTATTTGTCACCTCCTTTGCTTTGCAATTTTCTTTGCACGATTAAGAATGAATTCCTTCCTGGGTGTGTATGAATGTGAGTGTGTGAGCTGTGCGTGAATGTCTGTTACACATACATTTCTGACACTCATCTTCCACTCTTGCCTCCCAAAATGAAACAGAGTAGACACAGGACAAAGGGGCAAAGGGAGGTGCCCATGAAGCCAGATGTTTTCATTTACCCAGGGCTCTCTCAGTAAGAATTCATTGAAGTATCGTTATTCTTGAGATGACACAGGTAATAATGTACACCCCTTTGTGAGTATTCAAAATACACAGAACACACAGAGATGATGACACAATTCAGTAACAAATATTATTCCTGTATGGGAAGTTTCTTTTTATATTCTTACCATTCTTTTCTGTTACTGTGTTTAATTTTATTGAATTAAAAGCAATAACAAATTAATGGTATTGATATTTACCTTCCATTTTTATTATAAATATTCTAGAGTTTATTTTTATCTTTTATATTTTATCATTTGTATAGATATTTTATTTTTATGTTAATTTTTATTCCTTTGCAACATTTTTTTTGTACATATTAAAAATGATTTCATTTTAAATTAAGTCAGAAATATAAAATTCCACTAAATATGTACAACATGAGGCATCAAAAGGAAGGAAAAGATGTGGAGGTAGCAAAGCAACTAAGATTATAGTTTTCCAAGAGGAGACTGAAGACCGTTTGGGATTGAACACCTGGACTGTAACGTTTTAGTAAAGGCGTCCTCTGACAAATCCTGTAGTTCATCTCCATCTCTTTCCCTCTCTCTCCTGACTGAAGCTTTGCTCAAACAAATGGTTTCTCTACCTTTTCTACAGGGGTCAGGTGACCATACGGAGGTAACCCTTATGGAGACAGCCCTCTGTGACATGACACAGTAGGAAGAAAGTTCATCCGCTTTACTCAGGACAGAAGCCAGAATATTGGCTATAAAAATGTCCTGTCAGCTCCCAAGAGGCTAACTTTGGGCGGCTTGGACTGGGTACCACCTGGAACCTGACAGTGATTCCTTGTGGCCCTGGAGTGAGCAGTATCTCTATTGCCTCAAAGTGTGGAACTGAACCTTCAGTGTGGCAGAATGTTCTTTCCTACTCTGAGTTTTCTAAAGCCTTTAGGAAGCCACAGAAAAACACCAGAATTATATCCAGCAACTGAGGCAACAAACAGAGCAGATAAGGTCTTTGATTAGTTAGACCCTCTCCCAAATCAATGAAATAAACGAATTCCTCAATCAGAATGTGTAGCGGGGTGAACCCTAAGTGACTCCCTGGGTCTTCTTGTCTCAAAGAAAAGATGAGCAGAGCAAGCACACAATGTCAGAGCAAATGGCAGGTCCCAGGAGGCACTGCCTGGCACCTCACATTCAGAGAGAAGTCTGAGCTTAAATATGAGTGAGGCGAGAGTATCAAACCCAGTCAAAGAAAAATAGGTTTCATGAGACACAACATCAAAACTGAGTGGAAGTCCCCAGGCACAAACTGATGCCAAAGATGTTGACAGCAGATCTCAATATATCCTCCCAGAACCCAGCTGGCTTCTTGCATCTCAAGGACATTTTGAGGTGTAGGGACTTCAGCACAGATCTGTGATGGAAGGAGCTTCTGCATCCAGTGACCATGCACTCCTCCTTCGTGGTCCACAAGTCAGCAGCCAGCTGCCTCCTCAGTTCTCTGGCAGCTCAGAGGGGCAGCATGTCTATTCCTTTTCCATGATGACAGCGTCTGTCTCATAAGGCCCTCACCCTCAAAGATCAACTCTGATCTCTACCTTAATTTTCCCATGTCCTGTGCCTTCTTTCCGTGTCCTGTGTCTACATGCTCAGATGCCAATTCTGGAGGTCACTCAGTGAGTAGCATGAGCTAGAGCATCTCAGTGACACTTGTTCCCAGGCTGGTCTCTCAGGACGCATCTCCCTGATAGTTCTGAGGTGAGGAAAACGCGAAGGTCTCCCCTTCCAATTGTGTCCCTCGAAGGCTCCTGTGAGGCAGAGATGGCCTTACTGTGCCTAATGTGCAAGAAGCCAGGAGGTGCTTCCAGCTCTACCAAAGGTCCCGGCTTCCTGAAAGGTCTTCTGTTTTGGCCTCAAATTGTACATATGTAAAATAGTTCACGGACATCAGTCTGTTCTTCATCTTAACAAACTGTTCATTCAGAGGCATCTTGGCGGTTTCTCACCACAGGTTCCAGGGTTCACTGAGGACCCACCTTCAAGTCCCATGAAACAAAGAAGTAAAGGATGCAGCTCTGTGCCTGAGAAGGAAAAGGACCCCCAAACCCCGACTTCAGCCTGGCAAGAGTCAGGAAGGTTGCATCAGCCTGTGGTTGTGCAGTCGCTCACTTCCTCAATTGGCGTTGTTCATCCATCTGTGCCCTGCGGTGTTCTTCATCAACATGTTCGGTATCTTCCTCCAATTATTTTAGGACTGAGAAAGGTTTTTTTTTCCCAATCCAAGGCTTATGTTTGATACTCAGAATTTATTTATTTTAGTGAAATTTATTAGGATTAAGAGGATCACTAAGCAGTTTTACAGATCATCATTTTATATATAAAACTCAGAGAAATAATTTTATATTATTCTCTATTTTATTTTATAAAGAACAGGGTGAAAGGAGTAGTAAAAGTGGGAAAAAAGCAAACTGAGAAATGTGTTACTGTTTCAAAAGAGGACATATATGGGAGACAGAGGGGGAGAGAGAGAGACAGACAGAGAGAGAGAGAGAGAGACAGAGACAGAGAGAGAATGTAGTATACAGGTTTATCTCAATCATCTGGATCTGAAGTACAATCTCAGTTTAGAAGAAAACATACTGAGCTGGCAAGCCAATGACCTGTATCACTAGTAGTTCTACTTCTATCACTAATTAATTGAAAAAGCTGTGGCAAAGCACCTCACAGGTGTGTTTCAGTTTCTACACCTGAATTCTCATCTGTATCTTATTCTGAATCTACACAGAATACTGCTTTGATGATCCAATAGTCTAATACATGTAAACTGGTAGCATATGATCTTTTCATACTTGCCCAACAATTATAAAGTGATACCATTAGTGTTCTCATTCTCATGTGTTTCAGCCTAATGTAGGCTCCCTCCTGTGAACTCCACTTATTACTTTTTCCCAGTTTGTTTATCTTTAGAGGGGTAATACTTTCAGCCTCTTTGTAAATACTCCAAGCAAATAGGGATCCTACCATTTAATTCATCATCTCAAAACTCTACTGTCTTAGCTTTCCAAGAAGACAAACTGTGAAATCCTTGCTGATGGGTGGGCCAGGCACACTGAATCCTTCTCTACTTCCACTTTTACTTGGAATAGAGGCATCCACTTCCAGTGCCTCTCCCATCCTAAGTGACCACGCTGGTGGTAAAAGGTAAGTCAGACACATATTCAAAAGCTGAAGTGGGATTCATGGAGGAGGTAGGTTTGGATATCTGAGGACCTGATGACATTCTTTTCAGGTCACAGATTCTATGCTCACAAGTGTTTTGTGCTCAGCCATGTCCCCCTTAAAAATTGTACACGTACAACATTAGGGACAGCAAAGATAAGACTGTGCCATTTCGATCAATTAGGCATGCACTCAGAATGAAAATGATATTGATTTCGGCCCAGATTTCATTATAAATGAGAGATATATAATTAAAATTATATAGACATGTAAATACTTACTATATTGACAGTTTCTTCCCATAAATTCTCCTGGGCACTCACAGGAATAATTGGCGACCAGGTCTGTGCATATTCCACCATTTTTGCAAGGCTCAGCTTCACATTCATTTATGTCTGAGGAAGACAGGACAGAGGAAGAGAATTGATGATAACATTACTAGGTGTCAGGAGGTTTGGGGCATTTTAAATAAAGATGTCTGAGTCATGCTATTCCTTGACTATTCGTGTACAAGCCTGTATCAATGCATATGCTGCTTAAATCAATAGTTTGTGAAAAATCAAATTAAACCAATTTCAAAGAGAACTGAAAATTCAAAATGAAAGCAGATCAACTGAACTAGACCATTCTCCAATTCAGAAAATAAATATGAATAGTTTGGGAAAATATTTGATGTATACTTAGAATTAAATCAAACAAATTAGCCCCAATAGAGAGATGAATTGGTTTTACTTACAAGATCTAGACACCGCCCTGCAGCAACAACTGGCAATTAACAGTCTCATTTCACCCTAATTCATTAAAATTCTCATTGACAGAGATGTTTAGTTTCTAAATAGTTCACCTTTGATGAATACAATGCGAAGCAAATCAGAACTAATAGCTAATGCTCCTTACATACACAGTATAATAAACGTAAATGATGACCACTTCCTAATCCCACTCAGGAGGTCTAAAGTACGTGTTCTCAGGGACCTACCTTTGGTGTGCCATTGTGAGATGTGATGCAAAGCCACATGAAATACAATGCATTCAACCAATTACACTCATTTCCATGCTGATTTGAAACATTTTAGAGATAAAGAGTGCATTTTCAAAGCAAAAAGGAAAAAAATTAATTCAGCCAAATATCCCTCCCTGATATTTACAAGCCTTCCCTTCCAAGAGTAGCACCAGGAGGAGCTGGGAAAGCTGACAGCGCCCCCATCTCTCACCTCCTGTCATTCACTCTGTGCTCCCTGTCAGCTCTGAATCCCAGGCTCGGTTGTTTGTTTTTCATCATCTTACAAACCTAAATGGCATTATTGGCAATGATCTGTTAGCATGTCTTTCCCCCTCACTCACATGGCCGGCTTTCCACATGAAGATCCTGTCCTGCCCTATCTTGCTGCTCTGGAAAGCCATGCTATACCCAGAAGCCTTCTGATCTAGCATAACAAAGGTATTCCCAAAGCCCTGCGTTATCCTAGTGTCTCTCGCAGCACTATGATCGCCAAATCTTCCTCTCAAGAGAGAACAAAGGGAAAACACTAAAAGCTGTCTATCTGCCCTTTCTTTCAACTTCTTTCTTCTTACAGTGCCCCTTCCTGCAAGCAGCTTTGGCCACTTTTATCCAAAGTCCAGTCTGAGAGTGTGGCCCAGACTTCCTAAGGCAGGTGATGACCTGCTCTGAAGGCAGTGTTCTTTGGTCTTTCTTTATCCCAACTTGAACTTAAAGAAAATTCATGACTGTGTTCATCAAGAATCTAAATAATTTGAGTATTTTATAATGTCAGATAATAGAATAAACTGTATTTGGTAATCATAAAGGAATTGTTTTAAATTCTGAGTGACTCATAGATAGACTGAGTCCTGAAGCTCTCCAGAGAAAAAATGGAGGTCAGGAGGGAAGAGAGGACAGATGTTGAGGAGAAAAACAAGAGGCATAAGTCATTTCAAGTTTTTATCTGATGAAGGATTTAGTTTTTTATTGATCTTATAAAAATTTTGTTAGCCTCAGTGGCATAAAAATATCACAGTGCTACTTATTTTGTTGCCAACTCAACCCAACAGAGTGGCAAAGTTTGTCTACTTTGTAACATGTCCAATGTCTTTCCTTCCATCATATCTACTCCAATTAGTTTTAGATAAGAGCATATCGATAGCTGATACACTAAATCTTCATTTGTTAGGAAAAATATTACTTTTTTTAGTAAAGTTGAACATAAAGTTATTTCTGTATACACTTCTATAGAAGAAAGTTAATACTGATGTATAGAGACTAAGTAAAGGATACATAATTTGTTTTGAAACTGAAGGAAAGGTCTAGTCAAGATTAACAAGGACAGGATGGAGATGGTGGTGTGTCTTCAAGTGGGCAACAAGAATGAATCACAACTCTGTTATGATGGTGTCTGCATACATGATTGGTCCACTTGAATCGGAAGATATAAGAAAGAGGACAAGGGTTCTACAGGCAAGGACCCCAATGAGGGACTAAATTACAATGAATCCTTAATGCCAGCTGAAAGAACCTGATTTTTTTTTTTTTGCACTGAAGATGTGGAGCAGATGGGAAGGTGTCACCTTTATCCTTCTACCTTAGAATGGCCTAGCAAAGCCTCCCTGGAGAGACAGAACAAAAAAGTAAGAAGCAAGACAGAGACCTGCCCAAGGTATGGTATAAACAGCCCCACATATAATTTCGTTGTTCTGTAGAAAGGCCTGTCCTGTCCGTTTTCTCATTTTAAGGTTTCATGCAGCATGAGTAAAATTGTAGCTAGGTGTTCCTACCTGGAAGTTGTAATAGAAGGAACTTTTATTTTTGATTTAACAAGAATCCCTTCATTTTTGTTTTTTTTTTGTTTGTTTGTTTGTTTTTGTACTGGGGATTGAACTCAGGACCTTATACTTGAGAGGCAGGCACCAGAACCACTGAGCTAAATCCCCGGCCCTAGAAGGAACTTTTATAATCAGTGATGTTTAAACAACCCTTCTTCCTATTATGTATCCTTTATTTTGTTCTTATTTACATTTTTGGATTTCTCATATAAAAGAAACCATACAATAGTTAAGCTTGTATGCCTCATTTTTTTTCACCTAACACTACTGTTCATCCATTTTCCTACAAATGACTCAAGTTTGTCCCTCTTTATGCCAGAGTAGTGCTCCAATAGGTATAAATGCCACATTTCCTTTATCATTCATCTGGTGATGGACAAAGACTTTGCTTCCAAGATTTAGCTATTCTGCTGCTATAAATATGGGTATCATAGATCATTACAATATGCATCTGATTCTTAAATAGAAAGCTATCCATTCTCAGAGGTTAGCAGAAGGTGGAATGAACCGGATATGCACTTGGTGAAGCGGAAATGCTGTATGACAAACTCAGTTTCTGCTAAAGAATGAGCTTTTCTTTAATTAAAGTGACTTTTTCCAATGTTTTTTTTTGAAAACTCAACAAAGACTTAAATCTGAATTCAGAAAAATTCAAATGTTGTTTTAAATGAATTACAATCTCTCTAGCAGAATTAGCAAAACATTTCTACACATGTACCTGCCCAGGAACACGGGTGCTCAGAGGACAGAAGCAAATCGCACAGCAGTGACTGTGCATTAGTGCAGCACAGCATTCTCACTCAGCGGTGAGGGCTGTTCACACTGTGATTAGCACTGCAAGCAATCTAAAGGGAAACTGACCTCAATTTGTATAAATCATGTTTAATTAAAGGCTAGATATAACCGTTCACAGAATCCAATGTAGTGAAAAATAGACATTTTGTAATAAATCACATACATTTAATTGGCTACAGATCAAATCATTATATCTAGAAACAAAGCCCACTTGGATTCTAAATAGAGCAGAGGACAGCAGATAGCTTTGATATCTAAGAAACATTTGATACAGCAGTCCTCATAGAAAATAAGAATTTCTGTATTTGGTTAACTTTGTACTTCATTTAGAATAGTAATTATTATATTGCTGAAGTCTTGGCTTCTATGACTACTTCATAGAAGCTGCTATATAAAAACAGCCTCGTTGCAGATGTGATTTTATAATCAAGGCAGCCAGCTGAGTTCTGGACATGTAAGCCTTGATGCCCAGCCAGTCGTGACTGAGGCACAGTGACCACAGCTGCATGACTTTCCAGATGCCATCCTGCTGCTCACCCTGGTTTCCTGAGAGGGGTGTTTCTGTTTAGTTCTGCTTTGCTTCTGGTGAAGAAAGAAGTCAGCGAAGAAAGAAGAGGGAGGAGATGAGGGGATGAACAGGTGAATGTCTTTGAAAGCAGACATGAAGTTCTCTATCAGATTCCTTGGCCCTTGCCGTGTTATAACTAATTACACAGATGCATTCATTTTACATCCATAACGTAAGACATTTATCGTATGTGTACTTAACTGATTTTCTGCAGATTTGTGAAGGTGCATTTGGATTTTGTCTTCTTTGGGTTAGGTTTTTCCTGCAGAAATAAAGTCAAACCATTCAAACCCTGGAGACTGCACCATGGGACGATTCCTCCAGTAACTGACCAATATTTCATATATTCAGTAAGATCAAGTTGAGTACTCATCCTTCGGATAGTTTCCCATGTATCCAGAGGGACTCAACCTGAGCATTATGCAATTACTCCAGGTCTCTGTCCTGGATCTTTGTCAGGGCCCAAGTTACTATGGCCCAGATTATGGCCCAAAACCCATGACATTGACTTTCTAGCTGCAAGTTGTCCAATGATTTTTGAAAATCAAATTCCATATTTGTACTTAAAAAAACAGATTTTCTAGGCACGATTTCTTGGTACAAAAATGATGTAGTTTCTTCCCTATGAAAGAAATTCTATTTGAATATGCAGTTAGCTTGTTTACTGCTACAGGCTCCATTAGCTGGACAGAGATGAAAGGAAGATTTTTAGAGTTTCATTCCTTTGACCTCTAGAAAGTTGAAAAATTAATCAATTAGCTAATTAATTAATTACCTTTCTAACTGGCTCACATTTGCACTCTGCAGAGGAGGAATCATAGTAGTTTGCTTTCTTGGTCCAACTTTGTCCCGACCCACCCTTGAATTCCTTATGGATGCCTCAGGTAAGTGATGGCGAACCTTTTAGAGCTCTCAGGGCTACAAACAGCCTGCTGGGGCAGGTGACCACCAGCACTGCCTTAGGTGAATGTCAAGAACACAGAAGTTACACTTAATTGTCAATGTGGCTTACAACATTTTGAATGCTAACCACCTTTGGGATGAGGATGTATAACACTTTGGGGACAAAAGTCCATTTAACCTTTTTCTTAGTGAATCTCTCTTCTTTTCATCCCCTAAATACATACCAAGCTCCAAAATCATCAAGAAAGAACACTGATTCTTTAGTTAGGTATCCTTACTTTGCTCTTAAAACAACACTATTGGTAATGT